ATTATCAGGATGGTCTAAGTTGGTGCTCATATCTTAAATTGAAAAAAAAAAATATCCGATTGTTTACAATTTTGAGAGCATTTTGACAAGTCCATATAATACGTCATATGAAACGGCCGGTTACGAGATTATTCCGGAGTTCATAATTAATCATAATTTCACATACTTATAGATATAACACATTTCACTAACTTAAAGATATATATACATCTCTTAAAAATGATATGTTGTACGTGTAGTTCTAATCAGGCAAACGAAATCTACAACATCGCAGACGACAGCGTATAATTACATAAATACAGAGTGATGTCCCTAGGAAAATGGTGAATTAATATTCAAGTTTTTTTTCAAATATGCATATAAATCTCTAGAATTGATTTTATAGAGAGGTCTTCATAAATCAAACTTGTTTTGGGTAATTTGGATGTAAATTGTACAAATCCGCCAAATATTTGGCACTTGGAAATTTCTAATTATACCAATTACAGAAAACGAAATATTGAAGTACTAATTCAACTAACAATGGAAAAATTAGTATGCCGACTTTTCTAGATCCAAATTAAAAACAATTTAACTCACCCTTTCTTTTTGGTATTAAAGATAACAAGACGCAGTTAAAAAGGACTAGCATATAATTCGTATTCTCTGTAGTTACTGAAAGCAAGTTCAAGATACTTACTTAATCTATATTGTAATTTAGATATTGACACCTTATTAAAATTTGGTATATATTTTTTTAGATATTTAAGCACTCTTTTACACCAGTCCTGTTAAGCTGTATTCATAAAATAAAAGTTAGCATTTATTTTCTTTTAGCCACTTTTTGGATTAGCCAATAAAACACACTACAAAAATCTCTTACTGTAAACAGATCTAACTTGCATAAACACAAATGTATAAGACACATGCCAAAAAGACGTATGAAGTGTTTGCTAAGCATGAATGTAGGAGTATGTATGTTAAATTCTGCAATTTCAAGCATATATAGCTATTTTGTCCTAAGCTTTAATAAATTTTCAATTTAATGCCGTCTCCTGGAGTGCACTGGTTCCAAGAAGTTTCAAACTTGGTAGTACAAAACCGGAACCTCTGATCTGAGCAAGAGGTAAAATACGCCCTCATATTTCAAATTCGTATACTTTTGTTTAAATATTCAGATTAAAATTTCAGCAAGGGTTGAACTTGCCCAGATACGTGGTTCTATCCTCGTTAGAGCAAAGACTTGTCATCTCTCTCAGTCAGAATAATGTGTCCGGGTAGAGTTACATGTTACCTTGTGAAAGCACGTTGAATATTCGGCTCTGAGTGGTTTCGTCCTTATTTGCAAGAAATATTTCCCAATGTATGTTAAGTTATATTATTTTATATAATTCTATTTGAATATCATAGTCAAAGAAGTTGCTGTAGTAATACTTTTTAATTTCTAAACTGGTCATCAAGGCTAATGATCGGTTAGTATATGTTTTCTCAAGAAACCATTTAGCTGCTTAAGGACTTTATAAGAATAAAATGATGAGACAACTCTCCACCAGAGATAAAATGACGTCGAAGTAAGTAACTATCGGTCACCATGCGGCCTTCAACAATAATCTAAGCAAAACACATACCGTTATAGCAAGCTATAAAAGACCCCATAATGACAATTGTATGGTTAACTTGTGGTTCAAAGTGTGCCCTGTTACTGTGTCTATATTCATTTAAGCTAATTTGTCCCAACACAAATGTTATGATAAAGCACGTGTTTGATATCTCATCAATTTCAAATGGGGTTTCATAAAATATTTCTTGCCAAGCACATATGTATATGTTTTCATATAAACATCAGTGTCGCATTCTGGATAAAAAAAGATATGTGGTATGATTTCAAATGAGATAACTATCCACCAAAAATCAAATGACTGTGTTAATCTATCGTAGAAATAGTGACTTTTATTGGGAAAATTGAAAATGTTCATGAAGGTTACCTTCGTCATCTACACATTTTCGTGAGTGATGTTTACATATTGAACACAGACCTCGACGAGAACACTGAACTTTGCGTTCGGTATTACGTTATTCAAAATTTTGCATTCATTGTTAAAAAGTTCAGGGTCTAGGGCACAAAAACTAACAAACATATGCAGTATAAATGCGTTAACCGAAGCACATTTTGTATGAAACGCGTAAATGCTTCTTACTTAAAATGTGCACACGATCAACGCTTTTATAACCCTATAAAATTACAAAATGAAGCATTCAATTATTATAATTTCATTTTTTTTATGCTACAATATAAAAATAAGAAGATGTGGTATAACTGCCAATGGGACAACTCTCATCGGTTGAAAAGGGCATAACTCATCAGATCGATACAAATTGAATGAATTGATGAAATTTGAAAAAAAAGGCAGAACAGGTGTTTTGAGTAAAAAAAAAAGGGCAGGATGAGCAACTTGGCAAACAAAAAAAGGCAGGATGACAATTTATGTAAAAAAAATCAGGATAAACTAATAAAAAAAAGGCAGGACCGAATAGAGTGAAACATAAAAAGCAGGACAGAGATTACAACTAAAAAATAACAGGACAAAATTTTTCATCCTAGCCCCCATAAAAATCAAATGGTAGCTCCCTAAAGACGTCGTTAACAGTCAGAGAAAAACATGACCTTGTGCAATGCCAAGATACAGGTATCGACATATTGCAGAGCCATGGATGTGCATAAAAAAAATAATATTAAGTTTGATTTTAATTAACTGATAACAAAATAAATAGCAATATCAATAAAACCAATGTTCAAAGATCTACATGTAATTACTGTGTTGAATTGGTGTAAGTGGGCGCCCAACACTTACCCAAGACCTGGGACAGGGGTGCACCAGGAACACAAGAACAGACTATACAAAATGATAAAGAAAAATCAATATAGTAGGTTAATGGTAGGTTTATTTATTAATTTTCAGATTCATTTCTTTATTTACTTAATTGTATGGTATGTACATAATCTGATACACTATACATGTATGATGAGGGCAAAATTAAGGACGGCATTAAAATCGAGATTATCGTTTGTGATAACATATTTCTGAACAGCATTGCAAGGTAAATTTCAATTGTATTTGGTTTTTTTTTTTTTTTTTTTATATATATAAGAGGACGACAATATGATTTTCTGAAAAAGCAGAAAGGGGGTCGGGCAGGTAGATTTATTCATTACGGGGGCGTGAAAATTTATTTTCACTTTTTTCTGCTATTTCAACTATTTTCTGCATTGTTCTGCAATTTATTTGGCATATAGTTCCTGTCCCCACTCTCAGGAATATCAAATGATCACCCCTAAAATACGCATGTCAAGGTCTGATGTGAAGGGGACGTCAAATCTGTTGCTAGACAATGAAATCTATTGGTCTGTAGGCTGCCTGTTGTAAGCCAAAATGTTTGTTTCTATACAACATACCATCGTTTTCCAGTGACAGTTCACATTTCCCGCCCTTCATCCCGGTCGAACTTACTGGACAAATTTACCTATTAAATTAATTGTTGATGTTTCCTTGTTCTGAATATGCATAAAATATTTGCCGCTGGTCCCTTAACAAGCGAAATAAATAAATCAATGACCTTAGATGTCATTACATGGTAAAGATTTTCTTCGGAATTAAATGCTGTTAAAATAGATGTAAAGATAAACCGAGTAACGATTTGATTAGAAACCATTTGCTGAAATGATCACAGTTAGTTTCGTATTTCCTTCAATGTGCATCCGTCGGACGTGTACCGATTGAAAGCTTGGTTTTACTTCTTTAGCTTACTCTTACCCGACTTGGTACCATGATGTCCAAGGTAACCAGTCGACAAATTATATAATCCGGAGTCAAAAGTCGGTAATATGAAAATAGTCTATTAAACCAGAAAATTAACGGCCTGATTATGTAAAGAAACAATGAACGAAATACAAATATGATATACAGCAACAAACTCAACAAACGTTGATGCAGTTGAGGGAATCAAGTCCTATTTATAAAACGTGTTTATACAATGGCTTCATTATTTGATAAATGTTTGAATATTTACAATTGTATATATGAAATTAAATAAATTTTTCAGTATGGAAAAGCTAGCGGGTATGTTGTGTTTATACTCATATTATATATTTGAATTCTTATTAAAATGTACAGATATTGATTTTCTAGCCTTTCTGTCTGTGAAAGACTTAAATGGCAACAGTTAACTTTTATGTTCGCTTAAAATTCATCACTTGCATTTATTCGTTTCTGACTAAATAAATCTTTAAAATACTCCTCAATACTTGTGGTTCAAGTATGTTAAGAGTAACATTAAAAAAATCAAAACACAATGAATCTGATGATGAACATGCTGCGCATGACAAAGCGAAAGTTTAACCAAAGTTGTGTATTATTGGTAATTAAGAACAATTCCGAGTTTAAGTTCTCCTTGACCCATATATATATACATTATTTGAACTTTGAAACAAAACTTATATACAGATATAATTTTGATTTATGATAGAAGAAAAAAATTATGTGATACACGTCGGTCATCAACTTTACTTCGGATATAGTTCAGTTCGCTTATTTATACTCTAAAAATATAAAGTTCACGCCAGATAAAAGTTTTAAAAAAGGGATATGGGATACATATACTCTAGAAATCAAATGCAACACGGACACAACTAGTATCAAATGTTCACAAGATATCTACAGGAAGTATGGCAAAGGACATTATTTTACCTCTGAAGACCGTTAAGCCATACATGCTGACTGTAAATGTTGGTTTTCGTTTATTTACAAGAAACAAGAAAAGTCTGCACAACAACTCAACATTATGATTCTTTTGTTAAGATTTTTAACTGTAATTGTCTTCATAATTTCAATTCCGTATTTGCTTTTTTTCATTATGTTGTTGATTTTGTAAAGTTTAAAACCTTGAAATGCAAGTTGAATTTAATCGGGTTTTGTTTTTCAACAGAGTATAACTTCACAGATAATCTTGAGACCAATGACCAAATGGTCAAAGATTTTAAAGACAAAGGTTATATTCTTATAAGGTACGTGTTTTTCTTGTTACTTAAAAACAGCACATATATTAGATTAAGATACAATAAGGCACATATAAGTGATGAATGACAACACAAATTGCTTGCATCATGCATATATAATGCTTGATTAAGAAACGCATATTTGTTATTAGATATTCATTATTTTCTTTCGTTCTAGTTTGTTTTTCAATCGAAAATCCTGTTGAATCACTCAACTGTGCTTCTGAAAAAAAATAAGCAAAATTAAAAACCAAATGTTCAGAGAACAATTGAAGGTCTTTCCACTCATTAAGGTCTATTTTGAAATAGAACTATTAAAATTTGGTTTAAAATATCATATTCAGCGTCTAATGATAGTTTATTGTACACTGATTCCAAAAATACATGGTTTCTATACATTTTTTTCAAAATAAAGGAGATAAATTGTTACTTCCGGTTTGAAAAATGTCACTTCCGGTTTTATTTGATAGTTTACTTGATACTGATTCCAAAAATATATGGTTCAATATACTTTTACATTAAATAAGTACAAAAAATAGCTACTTCCGGTTTACACCAGGTCACTTCCGGTTGGCTTTTCCATAGTCAAGTGGCTTTCCACGTAATGTAAGAAGTCCCATGGCTTTATCATGTATACATATGAGGTAAAAGCAAAGGTCAAAATCTAGAACGTCAATTTTACCTATGAACTTGAGCTCAATTTCAAGGTCATAAACCAAGGGCTTCAAATCAAAAGACTATAGGTCTTAATTATATATGGTTAATGAGTTATATCACTATATGCTTAACTTTTAATAAAAGAGGGGAGAAAACTCCAATTTAATGTTAGCGTACCCTTTTAACCAAAATTTATGTGTTACGACATGTCGCAACTTACAATTTAGTAAAAATATGTTGTCGATATCTTATACGGTTTTTTAAAAGAATTGAAAATAAGCCAAAATCAAAATTTAAAATATGACCTTGACCTCTGACCTTGACCTAATTTTCTTATTTTTGGATCAAGGACCTCAAATCAAAAGATCCTAGGTGTCTATCACTTATGGTTTACAAGATAGACATGCATATCACTGATATCAAATGCATAAGGGGAAATAACTCTCATATGGAATATTCATATCGCTTCGGTCAAAATAGGACAAATCATGCAAAGGATATAACGAGCAATTTTATAAAATAAATTTGTCGCTTTCTTTTACGGTTACGGAGGATATGCAGTTACAAGGAAAACAGTGTTCGGGGAGATAACTCCAACAAAGAAAATTGTTCGGCTTAGAATGGGTGAAAATAAAAAGCGCATAAACTGTATGATACTATATAAGAAATATCTAAGCGACATCTTGCGAAACAAAAATTTTACGCGAGAACAAAATTTGGCGGAAGAAAATAATAATAATAATAATCAGAACAAATACAATAGGTCTTTCCACAGAAAAGTGGAAAGACCTAATAAGCGCCCTTTTCTAGAAGTACGAAGACATTAGATTATCATTTATATTGTAAATATAATTCTGTAATTGACAAAAATCGCAGGATTGGAGCCGCAATTGGAAAGAGCAATGAAGTCGTAATTGGAATGCATCAGGAATAATAATACATGTATTAACTGTTCAACTGCTTAAAAGCGATTAAAAATATAATAAGTGACGAACAATTTATTATGTCATTCATTTCAAATAAACATAATGTAATTACTCAAATTCTTAGCTGATTTATACTTTTCCCTACTGATTGATTATTTTTTCTTTAAGGATGTTGGCTACTCTGTTTCAAAATAACAAGCTTTTTAAAAGACTGTTATAAATTGATAGTATATAAATAACGGAATCGAAAAAGCAGAAAACGCAAGGGACATGTCTTTGTTTTTCAGATATAAGCCAATGAAAATTTGGCAGGAAATGATTCTCTTTAAACTTTTCTTACAATTCGTATTGGAATCTTTTTCTTTCAAAAACTATATAAAAATAAAAATGATTTTAAAAGCTTTTCGAAAATGGCTTTTATTTACTTTATGTAATAAATTTATGAAAAGAAAAGTAGGGGTAAGCGGGCAGATTTTTTAAATGGCAATACATGGATAAGTTTCTTTGATCTCAATTCATCATTGGTAAAAATTCAATTAGGATGTCAAATTTTCATGCTTTCATCTAAATTTTTTATTGTGACGTCATAAAAAAAGGCGACCATGATCTGATGATGTCACATAAAAAGATAACATCTCTTTGCAGATCATTCAACTTTGTTTACACTTCTAACAAATCATTAGAAAAACAGATTTCTCAACTCTCGACAGTTAAGATTTTAGTATTTCAAACGTTCGGCAAGCCAAATAAAAAACATAACTGTTCTAGTTCGTACATTTATCACACTCGATTGAGTGGTAGAATATATATAAATTCAATATAGTGACGTCAAATTTTCTTGCTTTCATCTAAATTTCCTATTCCTATCTGGACGTTTTATATATATACACATTTATTTTTTTGTATTTGTTTTCAGGAACTTGTTTGATAAAGATGAGGTTGAGAAGTTTATTAAAGCAATAACAGACAGCGATGCCTTCTACAAGAACGCATATGTAGTAAGATTTTGTAATTACATTACACGAGAAACCGTATTTTTGATTGATTGACATCCGAAAAAAAGATTTTATTTCCTAATAAAATGAAACATTCCTAATAGCAAGTGCTTCCCGTGACAACGTCACAACAATGCATAGGAAAACATACGGAAGATTTGATGTACCACGTTTGTGTATGGTTGTAGCATACAAACGTAATTTTAAGTATTGAATGCTTATTTTTGTATTTTAATAGGGTTGTAAAAGCGTTGATCGTACGTACGTATACAACATGTGCTCCGGTCAACTCTTTTACACCGCAAACAAATTACAAATCGGGAGCATTCATTTCTTAAATACGAATGTATAATGAAATATTGACAAGTTTTTGTTCGCATTGACGATGGGTTCAATAATTGTTTGTGTAGGATTTTTTATTATTGATTTTTTGCGGGATCGATTTCCTTTCACTTACATGTCTGCGTTCACAGTATTGTCAGTTGGTTAGTTAAAAATGGGGAACAGTGCTGTCAGTTGGCAAGTTTACAAAAGGGGAAGAGTATTTGCGAGATGGAAAGTTTTAATAGGGAGAGAGTATTGTCAGCTGGCAAGTTTAAAAAAGGTGAAAAGTATTGTCCGTTGGCAAGTTCAAAAAGTGGAAACAGTATTGTCAGTTGACAAATTCAAAAAGAGGGAACAGTATTGCCAATTAGCAAGTTCAAAAAGTGGAAACAGTATTGTCAGTTGACAAATTCAAAAAGTGGAAACAGTATTGCCAATTAGCAAGTTCAAAAAGTGGAAACAGTATTGCCAATTAGCAAGTTCAAAAAGTGGAAACAGTATTGCCAATTAGCAAGTTCAAAAAGTGGAAACAGTATTGCCAATTAGCAAGTTCAAAAAGTGGAAACGAATTCGTCAGTTGACAAGTTCAAAAAGTAGGAACAGTATTGACACCTGGCAAGTTTAAAATGAGGGAACATTTTTGTCAGATGGCAAGATCAAAAGGGGGAACAGTATTGTCCAGTGGCAAGTTCAAAATGGGGGAACAGTATTGTGCGTTGGCAAGTTCAAAAAGGGGTAATAGTATTTTCAGTTGGTAACATGATTAAAAGGAGAGATACCAACGCGGTATGTTGAAGAAAGACGGAAGACAGCAGACATCACGGCCAAAAAACAAAAACAAAAGAGGAGCAGACAAACAAAAGTACATAAGTTATTACACAGATTTTGTTAGTTTGTTTGTTTGTTGATTTATTTGTTTGATTGTTACATATTTTTGTTTTCATTATAAAGCTCTTTACAGACGTTTGCGCAATGCATGAATCCTGTTTAATTAATAACAAATGGTACAGTACATGTATATGTATATCTGCCACGAGTTGTTTCTCTTCTTATGTTGGATTATTGCTGGATCTTCGGTGAGATTCAAAATTTAGAAAACTGGAAGCATTTAAAAATAATTATATACATCTAACTATATTAGCTCCTTCATAAGAAAATTGATGCATTTACTCTATTCATATGTATGCATAATTTTCCAAATCCACGCTGATCTTTGCCCTAAAGAGGATATCAAGTAAAATAGTGTATACAAATAGCGGGGTAATCTAGCTCGAGTCACATTAATAATGTACAGAGTATTTTTAGCGCATTATATTACTGGATTGATGTGATTTAATTTAAATTGCTAAACAAAGCTAAAATGATGAAACAAAATGTAATTTATTTCTTATCTGCCAGAGACTTTTCGCAAATGGCTTAATGAATAAATATTCATATTCATTATCTGGAAATCTGAACAATTAACATAGCATTTCAAAAAGCACATGAATAATTAATCTTTAAATAGTCAGTAAGGGATTATTGTATGCAAGTTAGTTAAAAGTTGTCTTCTATTAGCTTGAAGCCGGGGAAAGAAAAATTCCCAGAATAACATGGAGCCATCCAGGAAGTGACGTGACAGGATTGGCGGCTAGATCAGAAAAGGTGGTCAATACTTGTGAGAAGGTACTCTATGTTAAATCTTTGAGTATGAAAAAACAAAAAATATATATCAATATTAATTGTACAGTATAATTATACGGTACATTGTATCTGGACAAGTCACCCTACTCCCAACTCGCCTATCACCTCCTTGAAAATAACGAGCTCTACTACAAAAACAATTGTTTTAATGACGTCTTTGACAACTGTCCCCGCCATTCAAAATGAGTTAAATCCTACTAGAACAAGACATGCAATTCGCCCCACTAGTGTTATAAGAAATATAATATCTTCTATACATAACTTCAAAACATTCATTCCTACTTTGAAAACAACACGTCTCCTCTCTCCATCCCCACCTGCCACAAAAAGGGTAAGCTCTTTAAGGTTTTTTATTTGTTTTCAGAATTCTCTTACTTTTTTCTCATCTCTTGGCGTCCGTCGTCCGTTGTCTTCGTCCGTCATCGTCGTTCGTCATCCGTCGTCTTCGTCCGTCATCGTCGTCCGTCGTCGTCGTCCGTTAACTTATACAAAAATCTTCTCCTCTGAAAGTACAGAACAATAATTCACCAAACTTGGCCATAACTATTATTGGGGTGTTTGGTTTTAAAAATATGTCCGATGACCCCACCTGTCAACCAAGATGGCCGACATGGATAAAATTAGAGCATAGGGGTAAAATGCATGTTTTTCTATTATTTTGAAAACTGTTATAAAAAATCTGACATGGGCAAAAATGTCCAGAATGTTGAGCTCTACCAATTGTCCATTTATGTCAAATTTGTCAGGGGACTTCTGAAAGGAGTTAAATAAATGCCCTTAAATGACAAATTTTACAATTTTTTGAAATTTTCGCTATTATCTTGAAAACTATGATAGATACAGAGAAACTTTAAATGACAAAAATGATCAGTAAACCAAGATCTACTGTAACAAATGAGTCGCATTGTATAAATCGTCAGTCGACTCCTTATTAAAGTTATTGCCCTTTGGATACGAGTTTTTCCAATTTTTTTGCGTTTTTTGCCTTTTATCTTAAAAATTATAATAGATAGATACGAACTTAAATAAGCAAAAATGATCGGCAAGACAAGATCTACAATTTAGACATAAATGGAGGAAATCGTCCGGCGACTCCGTATTGGAGTTATTGCCCTTTAATGATGATTTTTATCATTTTATTTTGCGTTTTGCCTTATATGATAAAAAATTATAATAGATAATTATAAACTTTAGAAATTAAAATGATCAGCAAGTTAAGATCTACTAACAAGTCAATTTTGCTGACATAGTTAGTAGACTGTCAATCTTTATAGGAGTAATTGCCCTTAAATGAGGATTGTTTTAATCTGTGTTTTGAGCAAAAACTAAAGAAGATAGAGAGAGACTAAACAGACAAAACGATCAGCAAAATAAGATGAACAAAAAAGAGATTTGTGTCATGAATTCTATTCTTGTTTACAATGTTGAAGAGTGTCCTTTTGTTAAATATGCACATAGACCTTGGTGAGCGACACAGGCTCTTTAAAGCCTCTAGTTTAAATCTCGCTCTGGATTGAGGTAAATTTAGAACAGGATAAACGTTTGTTTTAAACATTTGTTATCAACCTTTCGTTTTATAAGACAGTTATGTAACGTTTGTTTTAAAGAAAGACTGCCATAAGATCTCCTGATCTCGATTCCACCTGTAACCGAAAACAGTTTACAAAACTGGTTATTTTGCAATCACAATCATAATCATAACAATTATAAAAAATCAATAGTTCGATGTCCTACATCATGTACATTACGAACAACTAAAAATAAAAATAGGGGGTTTCTTAACGCTTCATTGATCCTGACATAAACCAAGCAAAATCTACTTACTAGGATACAAAAACTACTAGAACATATACGTTTTAACATCAAATTTCCCATTGTGTTTCTCCGTGATGATATCCCGTGCATATGGCTTGGGTTTGTTTTAAGTGATAAATCTATGGAAAGTTGTACTTTGATTTTTTAGGACGGGTGTATTATATGTTTTAGTATGGGTGTATATATATTTTAGTACGTGTGGATTATTTTTAGTACCTGTGTCGATTGTTTTTTTATAATTATGAGTACAATTTTAGTATGTGTATTCATTTCATATTTTACAGCTACTTGGTGGCGAAGTATACCATTACCATTCAAAGTATATGTTAAAAGATGCTAAAATTACAGCACCACACTACTGGCACCAAGACTATGGGTACGGCACTTTTTAGTTTAGTTTTTGTTTTTCTTTTATGTTCTGTTCTGTTTTTTGTTTTTTTTTGTCCTGTCCTGTCCTGTCCTGTCCTGTCCTGTCCTGTTCTGTTCTGTTCTGTTCTGTTCTAACATAAACGGTACCAATTCTAGTGCACCAGATGCACATTTCGTCTTTTCAGTGATGCTCGAGGCCAAAATGATTAAATATCCAAAATCTAATACAAATGTTGAAGAGCGGAATAAACCAAAAGGATATGTGGAATTCAGACTAGTGACCTATTAAAGTGATCAAGTCTTCAATAGTTAGAACCTATTTTCATTGGTCTATACAAAAAAAAAATACAAACATAAACAATTTGTTAGCCTTTAATACGTTTTCTGCATTTATTTTCAATCGTTTATCATCAATTTCTTCATCTGCTGTATGGGCGAAACGTTTCAGATTTTTATAAAGGGACGTAACACTGCTACTTACCGTGTATTAAAATAAAACACGCCCACTAACCCAATATTAAATGTACAGGGTATCAACGTGTTTCTTTTCAATCAATGATATTCCTAGAAATGTATAGAAGAATTATCGGAAAGCTGTACAATAGACATTACAAACCGCATATATCCGACTCCGCTTAAAGACATACATCAAAGACAAATAAAAACTACATTATAAAAACAAATGGTCCAAATACCCAGACTTTTATATTCATCCAGGACGATTACATACTTTTTTGCACTTTTACGACATGGCTCCAGTAATAAAGCACTAAGGGAGAAACGCCGGGAACCCAGGTTATTTCATGTTATCTTATTTATAGGAGGAGGAATATTGTCACGATTTACAAATAAGAAAACAAAATTCATACGTGTAATCATTTTTAGCTTATGATCTTTTTTACTCAATGATATTCAGTTACAACTCATAGTTAAAGTAATAGATTATTCTTCATCCCCAGATACTGGTATAATTGTGGAAATCTCTATCCGGATATGATGACAGTATGGGTTGCTTTAGATAAATGTACTAAAGAAAATTCCTGTTTGGAAGTAAGTGTTTTTAGATACATATGTTAGTACTTATCACTAAGAATGAAAGCAGATTCTGGGATGACAGTCAGAAATAATAGTCGAAAAAAGACGTTTAACACAATGACAAAATAAATATGACATACAACAGTCACACCATAACCCATACAAATAATGATTGAGCGACACCAGCTGAACCACAAATGGAGCTAAACTGGTGGTGCCTCAGAAATGTATCAATTTCCTTCTCCACTGGTGGCAACCGTCGTGTTACCCATGATAGGTTCAAAGTAGAGATTAATTAAATTTGGTGATGCCAAGAACAAAGAAAGGACGTGATGACAGGATGTTGACTTTGATGAGTGAAAACATATCCATTGTCAAAATGTCAAATTAGACATAACTAGAAAAACGCCGCACTAGTAAGGAACGTATTTATTGAGTAAAATATTAATATCGGATATGCAAATGACAAAACCTCAAAATGTACGCGTTTCATAGACTTTCCAGTTGCTGTTTTGGATACGATTACTTTCAAGCAATCTTAAGACTTTTATAATTATAAAAGTAAGAAGATGTGGTATAATTGCCAATGAGACAACTCTCCACAAGAGACCAAATGACATAGAACATTAATATAATGGAATATGTAGACAGCTCTCTCACAAGCGAAACACACTAACTGTAAAAATACAAGGTCATACACTACAGGCACGGGGACACATTCTACTGCATCCACACAGCACGAGTAACGAACTCCTTTTCAAGACTTTCACGTCAACCGTTTAAAGCTTTATATCAAGGAAGAACTCAGATTATAATGATTGTTTTGTTTATATTAATGTTGTATGTCATTTGGTCTCTTGTGGAAACACTGGCGATCGTATCCCTCAGAGCGATCAAGCTCTTTGATTTATCTATTTATCTCAGACCATCAGTAACTTTCTGGAAATCTGACTCCAAATAAAGTAAAGCACATCTTTGGCCTTACATATGAATATCTAACTACATTGGATCTGCAATTTTACATCTATTAATGATATCTGATGTTAAGCATTAGGATTTTCTTCGGAAGTGGAGTCTGACATTATAGTTACTTGTTCAGTCCTTGCTAAATGTGTATGTTTCTGTCTGAAATTCTTAAACACAAGGAGATTGAGTAATACTGTTGGGCAACAATTTGTAGTAGCTGAAATATATGCAGCAACAATTGAAAAAAAAACACAATGTGATTAAGTGCAATTTTGGCAGATACTAAGTGGATCAAACAATTGTGGACGCATAGAACATCATCAACATGATGGACAAATCGTAGCACTGAAATCCAGGGTTGATGTTATCAGGGAAAAGTGTCCTCATGTTTACGCGGAAATGAATCCAGGTTGTATATTATATTAATTTTGTTGTTTGCTCAGCCAATTAAGAAAATGTGTTTAATTGTAACATATATGTCTTTGTGAATTTCGTGTACATATTGATGTCATCAACTTTTCTGCAAATATGCACGCTGAGTTATGATTTGTCAAATACAGATCTATTGATTTCAGAAAATTCAATGTGTTGTGCAACGTCACGTGTGGACCGTGTTTATCAAATACACGATGTCTGCAAGAGTTATAGTTCTTCAGGACGATATTTGTTAAATATATATATATATTCAACCACATTAAAAGGTACTCATGTTTTCCTCGGTATCAGATAGTCTGTAGGATAAAAATATACAACAGTCTATCAGTGACCTAATATGGTATATAGATGGTCAGTATTAAAATTATGTTTCGAGTTAGCTCTTGCTTTATATGACATTCAATTACCGTGTATATACCATATTAGGTCGATGACGGCCTGCTTGATATATAACAGTCGCTTTGAACACCTGGGAATACAATACATCAAGGATATGAAAGGGGGGGAAATACCAATTTCATTAGCTTTACAACTACTTTTATTTGATCACTCAGACACAATACATACGTGTAACAAGAGGAATAGAATATTTACATATATACAAACAATACAAAACAATGGTGGGTATAACAAAGGAAAAAACATAAAAAATACATTTTTAAACAACCATTTTACCAAATGTTCTTAAGTTTACTAATAACAAGTGTTAGATTTTTTAACACTTTTACATTACATAGTGACAATAAGCCTATCATTTTTTGATAACATGGATATCTAGTAAAGTAAATAGGAATATGTTTGTTTCGTATTTTTACGACTGTCAGAAACTGACACTCAAAAAGGTAATGAAATTCAGTGCCAATTCCTATATGAGTGGCATATTCTTTCTTCTTTTGGAATGTTTGTCCACCTTCCGGTTTCTATGGTTATTTTAAATTACAACACCTCAATTTTGTTAATAATTGTCGTTCTCTTGGAAATAATTTTAGAAGGTAGTTTTCCAGATTAAATTCTAATTAAAATTGACCATAAAATTTTCCTTTTGATGAATTTTCTATTTGGCTGTACCATTTTTGGATGAACTGATCTACGAGCCTTTGCTTTACAGTAACTTTTTATTGCACTGAATTAACTGGAAATTGCTGAGTCCATACATAGCTGAGTCCCGTGTTATCAAAAATAGACTTTAAATGATTTATCCACTTAAAACTAGTATTACCTGATTGACTAAGCTTATACATTACTCTATATAGAACACTGCTTAATTTGTTTTGATTGACAATAAGTTTATTCCAAAAACAGACCATTTTTAAATTAATAGCTACCTCAATTGGAGTTCTGCCAAGTTCTCCATAAGACATGAAATTAGTAGTAGTGGTTCTTAACTTAAGTATATTTTTGCAAAATTGTAGGTGATTTTTTTCTATCATCTGAATGTTTTCAAACCCCCACACCTCGCACCCATAAGTCAGGATGGGAAGTATGAGGGTATCGAATAAGCTAATCTGTAAATCAACAGGTAGTGATATATTGCGTATATTCTGTATAAACTAAATAATGTTTTTTGCGCTTGCTCGAGTATTTTTTTTCTTGGCTTTAACAAAAGAACCATTGTAACTTAAAATTACTCCTAAATATGAGTAAGAATCTTCTATATTTAGATTATTGCCAAAAAGTTTTAAAATTGGGTTATGTTTGGATTTTTTCTTGCAAAAATTTACAACTTTCGTTTTATTCAAGTTCACTTTCAACTTCCATTTAGTACAATCGGCTTCAAAGATATCCAAAACGTTTTGTAAAGACTCCGGTGTTTCTGCAAGAATTATGGTGTCATCAGCATAAAGCAATGCAAATAATTTGACATAAATATCAAGATTATCAAAACATAAACTTTTAACTTTTTCTAAGCTGCAATTATTATTTTGGATAAAGAAATCTTCTAGGTCATTTAAATACATTGCAAAAAGGAAAGGAGACAGATTCTCTCCTTGTCGTACTCCTATGTCGCACATAAAGAATGCAGAACATTCTTGACTGCTTTTTACACAAGATTTAACATTATCATATAAACTATGTAGTACTTTGAACATTTTTCCAGTTATATCTGCATTTTGTAACTTAATCCATAATGAGGCTCTAGATATTGTATCGAATGCCCTTGAAAAATCAACAAAGGTACAGTATAATTTTTTGCCAAGTGACTGGTAGATAGAAATTAAAGCATGCAAAGTGAAAATATTATCAGTTGTGCTATATCCTTTTCTAAAACCAGTTTGAGCTTCTGACAATTTGCAAAGTCTTTCATTCAGGATAGCAGTGAAAGTCTTTCCCAAACAAGACACTAATGTGATAGGTCTATATGAACTTGGATCATAAATATTACCTTTATTTTTAAAGATTGGTAGGATAATACCTTCTGACCAAGAGCTTGGTATTTTTCCGGAATCTAATATTATATTGAATAGTTTGCAGTATATATGCATCATAAAGTGAATTGTATTTTTTATATGTTCGTTTACAATATTATCATATCCAGAGGCTTTATTGTTTTTAAGTTTTTTTCACAACAGCCAGAATTTTGTTTTCTGTAATTGAAGAATTTAGAATATTATCAATATTCTATGGAGGAATTTTATCAAAATTAATATCATGTTCTTCATCCCCATCAGCATTCTCAATCAACTTTTTAAAATATTCATAAAAAGTATCCAAAGTAATTTTGTCGTTATAACTAGATTTGGGTTTGTCAATATTGTTTAATATTTTCCATAAGACTTTAGGATCAGTCTTAGATTTTTGTCTCAGAGTATTAGCAGTTTTTATCTGATAATGTTGGAAATGCTTGCTCATTTCTCTTCTGTACTCTCTACTTGCCTTCTTTAATGAAGTTTTATTTAGCTGACTTTTTAAATATCCATATTTCCTTTTAGCTCTGTGAAAAATCTTTCTTTTCAATGCACATTTTGTATTATACCAAGGTTTATTATTAAATTTCTTATATTTAGAATTTTTACATGTCTTACCAAATACGTTAGCAGATTTTTTTTTTTAACATATCACACAAATTATTCACAACTGTATCAATATCAGACTGTAATATATTTTGTTTTAAGAGTAACTCATCTAACGAAGTTTCTTTATTTCTAATATTAGTTTCTTCATTTACTCTTACGTGTTCTATAAATTCTGTTTTCTTATTACTATTCCATTTTATATTTTGGTTTTGTGTAACAATGTCATTTGTTTCATTAACAACTACATCAACTAATAGTGAGAAACTAATCTGACAGTGAACATCTGAAAACAGGGGATTAAAGTCCTCGACTTTGAACATATTTATATTAGAAAACATATTAGAGGATAAAAGCAAGTAATCTACAACACTTGTATCATTGCAAGTAACATTTCCTATATATTTGTCACAATCTACTGTAGAATTTGCAATGTATAAATTATTTTTCTTACAAAGTTCTAAAAGTGTATGTCCGAAAGTGTTGGGTCTACATTTACACTGTGTATACCTGTACAATGATATTCCGGTCTTAACAATATTATTATGGTCATGAAAATATTTCAAAATTTCTTCATCACTATTAATGTTCATAATTTGTAAGAAGTTATTGGAAGATCTGCGGTTTTGGCATTGAAATCCCCAACCAGTGCATATCTGTTATCATTATCTGATAATGAAATTAATTCGTTTTCAACTTCAGAGAAGGCATCTAGTGATGAATATTTTGAATTATCAGGGGGTATATACACACATCCTAACAAAAACTTATCTTTAAAAAGATCTCTAGAAAATTTAACCCATTGTACATATTCAGAATCTGTTTTAGGAAATTTTAGGTAGTTTTCAAACTTTTTTTAAACACTCCAGTTATACCACCAGATCTTCTCCGAAACTTATTCATTTTTAAAATATAAGTATAGCCGTTTGGTAATTTTAATATATCTAATTTGTCTTGTTTTGTTTCTAAAAACATTAATATATCATGTGACGTTATTAAAACTTCAAAATCTGGTATTAGTTATTTTGACTTGATTCCACAGACATTAAGACAACACAATTTAATATCATGAATTGTTAAAACGCGACAGTTCACTCCTCTTGTTGGCCTGTCCTACTTCCTTTGCCATGTGTTGCTTGAAGTGTACCCAGTTTTGGGAGGATGATTGTTGGTCGGCATCGTGTATAACGGAGCCCTGTTTAATGAGTCTCTTCTAGCTCTTTTTTTAGCCTGACATGATATGCAATACTGTGTGGCTAGCTAATGGGGTACACTTTCAGAAAAATATAGATGTATATATATTTTATAAATCATAATACAAAATATATTACAAACACCTAGAAAGTGATCTTTAAGCTACTGTATATAATACAATGTATATAAGATATTGTTTATAATATAGTGATAAGTTTGTTTTCAACATGGTTTCATGTTTTAAATGTCTTTCATTTGATTAGAGGTTGATCAGGAAAGTCAACCAATAGGAATTGACTTTTCATTTTAATTTGGTTAGCTGCTTTAAGAAACTTGTTCTGATTTTCTTTGCATATTTGAACAATGTTACATTTGTGAATTTTATGAAAGGTTTTTAATTTTGACATACATCATAACAATGAAGACAGAAGAGGAAAATGTATAGAGAACACTAGGATGGTAGAAAAATAGTACACCCTGTTCAATCAACATCAAAACTTAGAGTTCACTAGCCAATTATATCGTTTCTTTATCTTTTGGTACTTATTGCACTTTTTGACATTAACAAAAAATCTAGCACAAAAGAGTTGCTTGTTAGGTACCCCATATACACAGCTAAATAAAAAAATGAAATGGACTAAAACATAGCATATGTTAAAAGATTATTATCGATAGACACCTATATAATATTATAACAAAACAATTGCAACCTTTTCATATCGGTTAATGCGTGTTTTCATAGACCAATCAACATGTGTTGGCCTCGGACTGCTTCACAAATTGAATCTGGAGGTTAAATGAGAGTTTCGATTATAGATTGTACAATGAGCAGCTTAACAGTTAACACTTGGAGAGAATAACTATTAGTTTTTCAGATTATCTACTAGTAATTTAATTCATATTTTGGAGTTGTTTGAAGTTTTATGCGTTTTTAATTGTCCGCGTAGATATGTTGTGAGTGTTTCATATTCTCCTCGCAAAAGGTAAAATTTTGCGCTGTATTACATCTGGTACTAAATTGGTAATTTTACCACAACAAACGCCACATGCGTGGTTGGCTTTTCATTACGTACTTTTTGGTTTTATCAGGTCTTCAACGTTTGTATTTGGTTTTAGATTTTCAAATATTTTGGCATCGAGCATTACCGAAGAGTCATTACTTGTCAAAATGCACGTTACATGCAGTAACTTTGGTTACGTTAATGTACTTGTTAAATAGTATTCACGTTGATCTGTAATATAATATGTATTTGATTAATACAGGTGACGCTTTGTTCTTCCACTGCAACACCTTGCACCATAGCAGCGCAAACCGTAGTGATCTAAGACGCTGGGCGTACATCATGTGTTACAACAAGGCTACAAACAATTCAACGTTTGCCCACCACCACGCCCAGTATACTCCTATCAAAAAGGTATCAATATTTCCTCATCTACATAATCCCTACATACGAGTCCACCACCACGCTCAATATACTTTTGAAAAGGTATCAATATGTCCTCATCTACATATTACCTACATATAAAGAGTCCACCACCACGCTCAATATACTCCTATTTAAATTTCCGCTTTTTTAACTTCTTATCTTCATATTATGTTAACCTTAGAGATAATACTGCATATTCTTGCGTAGGCCAAGCATACAATACAAAACAGGCATCCCCATTCTTATGCAAAATAGACAAAGTATTCAATTTTAATCCTTATTTCGATGTAAGCAATTACAGCTGCATGATATTCCCTCGTCTTAACTTAAGCTATGCTTTGTTGTGGTTCGGAGTAATTTGGCAAACTATGACAAAGTCAGTCAAAATACATGCAATTGCTCAGTTTTACTTAGTTTCACGTTTTTCTTAGTGTACAAATTTAATTTCTTTCATACTACTAAATTTGTATTCATGTAGAAAATATGCGTACTTTTATTATTCTGTCTTACAGTACAAACAAATATCCTTCCTTTTTTTCCAGGTACCTAATTCTGCTATCAAAGAATGCACCAATTTAACAGATCTTTCTGGGAAGGAGTTTATTCATCCGAGTCAAAATGCAACCATTGCAGGATTGTTTGCTAAATATTCTGCTAACTCGTGAGAATTTAACTGATCTTTATACGTCTTTTAATTATTTGAACAAATACTGTGAATAAGTTTTTGCAATGTGCATTTTTCCATTTAGATAGAAGAATGATGTCGAATTACAATCGACTCTAGTTATGTGAAAATTAATGTGACTGATAATACTAATTCGAGTGATTAAAAATTTTGAGATACCTGGAGTAAATATAGAGCACATCTATCAATTCTGACAGACAATTTACTTTGAGATAACAGTAATTCTTTACTGAAATAATATGAAATATTGATACTCAACATACCTTCAGTCCAAATATACCCTCCTTTATTACTATACTTCATGTCAAAATGCCAGATTTTGATTGGTTAATACGAGGGAGACAATTTACTCTATCCAATGGAAAATACTCTATTACCCTTCACGGAGACGCTTGCTCAAGTTCTTTATTATACGGATGATTGTTATGTACAAGACGACATAGTTTATTACTTTGAATTTGAAATTTAATAGACAGTAATAACAGAACATTCAGTATAAAAAATTAAATAACACAGATCTGAGAGGGTGATAGAGCAGATTGTTACCCCTCGAAAAGACATTGTCAACCTTGGCTTCGCCTCAGTTGACACTGTTTTCTCGGGGTAACAATCTGCTCTATCATCCTCTCAGCTATGTGTTATTTATATAATGTTGTCTACCTACGGAACACAATTAATTGAGGCATTTTGGAATGCGTTCTCCCTTATGAACTCATGAACAAATTATAACTGAAGACAATTTTCTCAATATTTCAAAAGTAAGAAATATATTTATTGGCTTATTTGTACATGTCGTAAGATAAATTTAGAAACAACTATGGTATATATTATGTAACTATAACTGTGTATTGTAATCGGTTACTAATTAAGAAGATCATCGTGCAACTAGTGAATGTTTGTGTCCCACATTCAGTGCATCGTCATTAAAAAAGAGCACAATAAAGATAATCTCACAGATACATGTACTTGTATACTTGTCGTTAGTTGATATTTAAGTGGTTGACGTGAAATCGGAAAACGAAAAATGCTTGATTAAGACTTTGTAAATGTGTGTAATGCCATGCCAACCACTCTGCTTTGAATTATATCGACATGTGTACTTTTAAACATGGTATTTTACCAGAATACTTTTATGGAATTATATGCGACTGTCATACAAGTGAGAGGTTTAGCTAGCTATAAAACCAGGTTAAATCCACCATGTTCTACATAAGGAAATGCCAATACCAAGTCCGGAATATGACAGTTGTTTTCTATTCGTTTGTTGTGTTTGAGCTTTTGATTTTGCCATTGGATAAAGTACTTTCCGTTTTGAATTATCCTTGGGGTTTGATATTTTTTTATTTAAATTTTTATATCAAACAATCCAGAAACAGGCTTCGGACGCACGAAATTAATAAAGTGTTATTTTCATTTAAACCCTATCTTGATACATTTTTCTGACTACGCTTTGCACTAACTCCTAGGATGATTAGAAACAAGTGACAATACATCTGACTCTTGTTATAGAAGATGCTAGGTTAACACCACTTAATCATTTGAAATGAGAAATATCAAAATGGTAATCAGAATGATAAATAAGGTGACAGTCATAATAATATCACTTCTTAGAACAGATGTTTATTCATTATATAAATCAATTACTAAAACAAATAAAATTTATCACAAACCTAGCAAATTTAAATCTTGTTTAGAACATGTAGCATTAACCTGAATACCGTATAAAATCGTTGAATGCTCATTATAATACAATATGACATGCAACGCCGTTGCGAATTGGCAGTTCGATCGACAATTCCTACTGTAATTGAATTGGCAGTTCGATAGAGAATTCCTACTGTATTTGACGAATTGCAAGTACAACACCTACATACGAACGGAAGAAAGAAACTGCACATCTACAATATGTTGTTAATTTTTTAAACATCAAAATAATATCTTTGCAATTTGAATAATTGAACAAAGTATAAAATGTTGTTGCAAAGTGTGAGATTTTAACCTCGATATGGTCAATCAATATACTCAATCATGCCGTTAGATGACATCATAACGCCGTATTGCCACTGAAAGAACAGTTCAGGAACAGTTTGAAAATCTTTCCGATATCGGTTTTGATTTATTAAAGATTTATTGTAGTTACGCAATATTATTTTCGGTAGAACATACCCCTGGAAGTGCTTTACCTTGACATTCATTAAGTTTTTGGTGTCTTGATCTTGATAAGGTCATGACACAAGAGAACGCAATTAAACAGAATCGATAGCTGATGTAACGAAATTTAAAGAACACTTCTTCACAAAGACACAGTATTGTTTGGGTAATGTCTGCAGTGTCCGTTAGCGAATGTCTGCGCAACACTGGACCGTAGATCTCTTTGAGCATAGAAACACTTTTTTATTTGTTTTCGTCTGCGTGATCAGGTGCACGTGTCCCTCTTGAAAACAAAAATGATTTCATCGTGAATAATAAATGACTAAAGAAGAGTTTTTACACCTTATTAGACAAAAAGATCATGAGCAATTTTGTTTGCACGAAATTTAAAAAAAACTTGCATGTTCTAAAGAAATATATGATATCCGCCGTGCGGAGCTGAATACCACCGGATATTTTTGAAAACATTGTTTTACAAGACTGCACATTCTATATGTGCCTGTCCCAAGTTAGGAGCCTGTAATTCAGTGGTTGTCGTTTGTTTCTGTGTATCGTATTTGTTTTTCGTTCATTATTTTGTACATAAATTAGGCCGTTAGTTTTCTCGTTTGAATTGTTTTACATTTGTCATTTCGGGGCCTTTTATAGCTGACTATGCTGTATGGATTTTGCTCCTTGTTGAAGGCCGTACGGTGACCTATAGTTGTTAATTTCTGTGTCATTTGGTCTCTTGTTGAGAGTTGTCTCGTTGGCAATTATACCACATCTTGTTATTTTTATATGTGACACATTGTAACTTAAATCTTCATGATTGTAAATTCTAGACAACTTTTAAGATGCACAGTTTCTTTTTTCGCTAGTATAGATAAAACATATATTATTTGTTCTAAGCAATACAAAATATATTGTGTTCCATATATCTAAAGTCCTCCAAGTCTTGCCAACGCGCTACCTGGTTTGGTATGGAATTTCATAACCTTATTGCTCTTGGAAAAATGAGAATGCATGGTAATTTTTTGGAGGGAATCGCTATACAATTTCTTGTTCTCTTGAAAGTACAAAATAATATTTGTTTTAGGTGAACAATAGCCGATGTAAAATTTTGTAGAGAATGGTGGCTGTATATAGTTTTGCCCAGCTTTGATGTTCAAGCATGGCATTTACAATACTTTCAGAGTTATGAGGCAGGACAACTGACATTGACACTACATAATTTTACGTTCACAATCACGAACTGGAAGACCGAAACGATTTTGATGTCAATGTCTTAGCTCACGAGGGACATGTTTTCACGGATCTTTAGATACTATTATAGTCGTCTGATCTGTGTTTTAACCGAATGTGTAGTATTCCCGATTGTGACATTTTGAGTGTGTATGCGCATGACGGGTGATGCATTTATAGTAAGAGACGCTTGCCCCATCGACGCAGCCAGTCTCGCTTCTTTAAAAGTTCATGCAATTTTCTCATTTTTTGTTTGTTACCTTGATTTGTCTATTCCTAATCGATTTACGAGATTTGAACATCGGTAAACTACTGCCGCCTTAATTCTTTATTTGTTATTTCTGTCAGGGCTCCAAGACAACACTACAATTTTCTCATTTTGGTCTGACATATGTTTTATAAGCTAGATTCATTAGTAGTTTTAATGCTGTTGAATTTACAGGTTTTTTTTATAAATCTTAACGATGTACTTGCTTTTTTTGTGTGGTCTTTTTATGCTTGAGTGTCACTTACGATTATTTTTATTGTAATGCTAAGGTATTTTTCTTGGTCTGTTGATTTTGCATTTACGACTGTAAAATCCTCAATTGATGATGGCAACTCTTCAATTGCCAGTAACAGACTTTTCAGACCGGTTCACATTGGAAAATATTAAAAGTACACAAGATCCTTTCTAAAAATTCCCTTTGCCAACAAAGGTCTTTATGCAATCAACTTGAGTAATCCTTCATCATAAATCAATTAATTCGAAAATATCCTACTACTTTAAAGATTAGTACCTGTGCTAGCTCCCCATTCATATATCATCCGGCTGGCCACGTTATTACTGAGAACCTGAAAATTGTCAATTACACTTTTCTGCTAAATGTGTTATCCAAAGACCCGAAATACCGTGAGCCTAAATCCATCAATTGGAAACACAACTTTAAAATACTGATGGGTTCCATCGAGGATTATGCATGACTATGGGCTAAACGCGAAAAAGAAAAAGTAGATACTCTTTCCAAATGGGTTAAGGCTGCGAGATCGTTGATACAAATGAGAAAATTAAAAACTAAACGGGTCTATGAATACACATGCTACATCGATCTTAAACATGATACATAAACTGCTTGATAAAGGAGTTAGGTATTGACAATTCACTTGGGAACGCAACATATACCCCCACGACATTTACCTAGGAGTAAATCCTGAATAATCATAGGTCTGTTCTACGTTCCTTTGGAATTTCAACCAAAGACTACTGGATCTTCCTTCACTTTATTGGATACCAAAATTACATACGTGTCCTTACAAACAAGGTTATATTGCTGGGTCTTCCTAGTGCTCCACGAAACCTCTTTCTAAATAATTAACATCAACTTTATCAGCAATCAAAGTCGGCCTTCGAAGTTATTGTAAAAACAACCTACTCTTGGAGCGGGTGAATCAGATATGGATAATAAAAAAAAATTGAAAGATCTGTAAGTGTACATACACAATTGTTTCAGGTCGAGTGAAGGTTGGCGCCTATGAAAACGTTTAAACCCGCTGCCTTTGTTTGCACCTGTCCTAAGTCAGGAACCTGTATATTCAGTGGCTGTCGTTTGTTGATGTGGTTCATAAGTGTTTCTCGTTTCTTGTCTTTTTATATAGATTATACCGTTGTTTTTCCTGTTTGCATGGTTTTACACTAGTCATTTTGGGGGCCCTCTATAACTTGCTGTTCGGTGTGAGACAAGGCTCCTGTTGAAGGCCGTACTTTGACCTATAATGGTTTACTTTTGAAAAATTGTGACTTGGATGGAGAGTTGTCTCATTGGCACTCATACCACATCTTCTTAAATCTATATACAATCGAAGTCTCTTTTGTTTTGCCATTGTATTAAAACATTTGACTTTTCTACACATTACAGAAGTATTTCCATTTCAAAACTAAAAGACAAATTGAAAGAGTTGGTCCTGCTTTGTTTCATAAAAAGCAATGGCCAACGTAGTTACAAGTATCTTGTCTTAGAGTGCGATAAATAGTACAAATATCTCTGATTTAAACAATAAGTTCTCTGAAACTGACATTATCAAGATGCTTAATTTCTTGATAGACAACGTATTTGTTATGTTTGGATGACGTGTTTTTCAACAAAAAATCGGCATTGCAATGGGAACCAACTATGTTCCTCTTCTTGCCGACTTGTT